AATTGGTGAATTGGTTAACTTGTATGTCCTACTAGAAAGTTAGAGCTCTGCTGTCTAGTGGGAGTGTAAATTGTGTGTATAACTGTAAAATAGCGCACGGTACCATAACTACTGACATGTACCATAACCACTGACATTGTGTAAAAATTACTAACAATTGCTGTTTTATGTTATATGTATAATACCATAACTGTTACTAACTGATCTGTGACTTTCAAACTGTATTATAACCACTTACTAACTGTACCATAACCACTGACTGTAAAGATGAGGTTACTAGAATGTGATATAGTTGGTTAGTCAAAAGTTGATTTATAGTATGGATAATTGTAGAGATGAAATTGTTGAAATGTTATGTGATCGGTTAGTTTATATGGATTAATAGCGTGGATAGTTGTATGGTTTGAATAATAGTTACATTGATAAGTGTATAGTCTTTGGTGGGTTTTTGATTTAATTTCGTGTGTGCGACGTCGTGATATTGTTGAGCATGTGAGGATCCTGTGTGTGTGTTTGGGCCTAGTGACTGCGCAATGTGTTGCTGGTGATAAGGAGATTGGTGTGACTGTTGAAACTGTGTGTATATTTGTACAGCTTTTTGAATCAGACGTTCTGTTGAAATAATCTGATTCACTAGGCTGTTAGTCTTTTGTCTTGTATGTTTAAAAAAAAAAAAAAAAGTAGGGAGTAGCCTGTCCTGGTGGCTGCATGGCCTCCATGTGGCAGTCTTCACTTAAAATTAGTGCAGGGTGTACATGTGGCTGTAACTAGTAGGCTGGAATTCTATGATCAGTTTCTATATATTGACTGTTGGAAACTGATTGTTGAAAAACTGCCTTGGTGAGTTAAACTGTGTCATATGGGAAACAATGTAGCCATATGGTGGTCAGAAATAAGGACTTAATTACAACTGCTTTGGACATCCCCTCCCCCCTGGCATCTGATTACCAACCCCCCAAACATCCTCCAGAGCTAGAGTAGCCACGCCCCTATTCTTCTTCCCAAGCTAAAAACTGGTATATAGTCAGTATTTGCACTCCCCCTGCTCTACTGTCCCCGCCTACCCACATACCTATCTGTTCCTGTGTTTCAAACTCTTGTATTTCTGTACTACCCCTCCCCCTAATCAATGATCAATGGTATCAGATGGTATATTGGTTTTTTTTAGTTACTGGATGGGCCCTCCCAGCTTTGTCCAAAATGTCCCCTTTTACTAAACTACAAACTGAGATGTTTAATTTACCTTAGAACTAAAGATTTAATCAAGCCTAGATATCAGGGTGGACAGTGATTAAAATAAGTAATAATAAAATAGGGACATAATTAATTAAAGTCTATCTGCTTCATTAGACTTTAGGGAGGCACTCTAGGCCACCTACGGGCCATCTTCGGGAGTTACATTGATAATACATTGTTTATAACAGATAGAAGTAGGATTGCTTACCCTATTTTAATATATTTATTGCTATAAGGTTTTATTTTATGTATAAATATATTAAACGTTGAGTTTTCTTATTAGACCCATGAAGATTATTTTGATACAAATTACCCTCTGGTGACACCTACTGGTAGGTTTTTGGTTTAACACTTTAAACAAAAACGTTTTTTTCATCCACCAAATGCTGACTAATAAAATTAGCTCACCCCCTTACACCTATCTTACTACTCCTAGACTGGAACCTATTATTGAGCAGCCTTGTCGAAGTCCCATATTAGATACTGCTTGAGTCAAATAGATTGTACACTCCTTTCAATCCTGAAGCCCCTGAAAACTTCCGAATGATAGACTCAGCATTTGTCAGCCAGGCCCAAGGTGATATTAAAAGGAAATTACAGAAATTAGAGGGATTTGCAGGGATGTCCATATTACAGCTAATGGAGATTGCAAATACAGTATATATGAATAGGGAGACGGAGGAAGAACGTAAAATGAGGAAAAAGGCAGATATGCTAGCGGTAGCTATCTTAAGTGTAGAAAGACAGGGAAGTGAATAGAGGAGACGAGAATAGGCTGAGCAAGGGACTTTAAGTAGGAATTAATGTGCGTATTGTAGAAAGGAGGGACATTGGAAGAGTGAGTGTCCACAGAGAGAGCAGTATGAAGGTGATAGACAAGGAGAGAGAAGGGTACGAGGAGGTTATAGTGGTAGTTATAGAGTAAGAGGAAGTTTTAGAGGGAATGATGGGAATAGTAGAGGAAGTGTTCAAGGAGACAGATACTATCTACCCACGCAGAGACCTAGAGAAAGAGAGGATAGAGATTTTGTGGTTCTGGCTGACACTATCATTCAAGACTATTGATACCGACCGGGCTCCATCCCACTTGGTCGAGCGTAGCCTATGGTCGATGTAGCAATAGGGGGAAAGCGACACAGGTGCTGAACATTCTGTGGTGACTAAGATGGTGGCTCCGCCTTCGGGGAAGACTATAACTGTGATAGGAGCTACTGGGAGAAGTGCAGCTAGACCGGTTCTTAAGAGTCGCACTTGTATTCTGGGAGGCCATGTGGTGAAGCATTAGTTCCTATATATGCCAGAGTGTCCGATTCAACTTTTAGGACGAGATCTATTATCGAAGCTTTAAGCTCAGATAACCTTTTACCTAATGGATCAACATCTCTGAAGTTTAAGGGATTACCAGGCATAATGGCGATATCGGTGCCAAGGGAAGAAGAATGACGCTTCTATTCCATAGTGACAAGTGTTAACCCTAAGAGTGATGAATCCTTATTTGACATTCCAGGAGTATGGGAAGAAAATAATCCTCCAGGACTTGCTCGTAATATCCCACCAATACATATTGAGTTAAAGCTCGGGGTGTATCCTGTTAGCCTTTGTATGTTGTTCTTTTATCTACCCCAATAGCTGTAAAGGTGGCGGAAGTGACTCCTTGGATTCATCATTCTAAGGTTAAACCAGCGGCAGACTCTTGGCAAGCTACTCCAGATCCTGAGAATCCTTGCAGGACCCGGTTGAAGCGTGCAACTCAGTCGGAGTGACGAGGGGATAGCGAGACATTCTAGTTAAGTTTACAAAGATCATCAAGTAGGTGTTTTGACGGCCATAATAAAGCCTGACCACCTGCCTAGGTGTCATAGCCAGAGTATCTTGAAGGGATCTCTGTGAAGGAAAGTGAGGATCAGAAGAACAACATCCTTGCAGCCCTCACAATCGGGAAGCTGAGAGGCCATCGCACGGTTGAAGAAAAATGAGGATTTCAGGAATAATGTGTTTTATTGTGTCTTAGTATTTTTATGATTTTTCAGGAAGGTAGGAGTACAGACATACCGAATTGCGATAGTTGCATTAAGACTACTAAAACAGGTAACCAAATATCCCAAACTCTCATCTGGCACTCACAGTATGAATGTAAGGGATCTGTATCTAAATGTAGATATTTGGATATTGATTATAGTGTGTGCAAGCCAATATCAGGAGAGTCTAAATGTTTTGATCCCCAATTCCAACCCCGTACAATTTGGTTGGTAATTCGGAATAGTAACTCCCAGGGGACATTAATAAATAGGACTGTGATAAGCACCATACATTCCACGGGTATTCTACTATTTGATGCATGTAAGGCGATTTCGGGTAGTGGAAGACTTTGGAATGTATGTGGTAATCTTAAATGGGAACGAACTTATGGGTTTAATGATAAATACTTATGTCCCAGTAAAAGATCTACTGATCCTGATTGCCCAAATAGAGACTAACTTCTGCCCCTATTTGTCATGTGTAGGTTGGGCAACCTGGGAAAAACAGTGGATCAAGATATGATTATCCAAAGGTTGCCTACCACACCATACTGTAAAACTATGTGTGTAACCCCGTTCACATGACCATTTCCAATCTGCAGTACTTTATTGACAGGTTTGGAGGTCTGTTTGGGTTCCAAATATATGGCACAGGAGTAGATTCAGGAACAATAATATATGTAGGTCTTGAAACTGAGACAGTGGCAACTCAAACTCATCAGGTTTCTCATTCCTTCTATGAGGAGATGATTATTGAGGATAAAATTCCCCATAATGTTAACAACCTATTTATTGATTTGGCTGAGGGTATTGCAGGTAGTCTTAATGTAACTAATTGCTATGTGTGTGGAGGTACTAATATGGGAGACCAGTGGCCATGGGAGGCAAAGGAAATATGGTACCCTGGCTCTGAGACATATGAACAACAGACACCTTTCCAGTCTGATCATCAAGAAAGTACTAGAAGTAAATTGGAATGGTGGTTGAAAACCTCCATTATAGGTCATGTTTGTATAGCCAGGAAAAGGACAATGTATAACACGTCTGTAGGTGAGCTAACTTGCTTGGGACAAAAAGCCTATAATGTTAATACTAAAAATACTACTTGGTGGTCAGCTTCAAATGTCTCGGAACCTACTAATCCGTTTGCCAATTACACTCATTTAAAGGAGGTATGGTTTGACTTATCGGCTACATCTAGTTGGAAAGCCCCAGCAAATTTATACTGGATTTGTGGTAAGAAAACTTATTCGGAGTTACCACAAGATTGGGAAGGGGCATGTGTATTAGGTATGCCAAAGCCATCCTTCTTCTTGTTGCCAATCGAAACAGTAGAGACCTTGGGAGTTAAGGTTTACGATGTAAATCATAAAAGGGAGAGAGCATCCTTGAATATAGGTAGCTGGGAAGATAATGAGTGGCCCCCTCAACGTATTATTAATTATTATGGACCTGCTACTTGGGCAGAAGATGGCACTTATGGATATAGAACTCCGATTATATATGCTCAACCGCATTATTAGACTACAGGCGGTAGTTGAGATTATTACTAATGAGACAGCTCAAGTGCTTAATCTTCTAGCTAAGCAAAATACCAAGATGTGATCAGCCATATACCAGAATAGGTTAGCCCTTGATTACTTACTAGCAGTAGAAGGAGGTGTATGCGGAAAGTTTAATCTAAGTAACTGTTGTCTGCACATAGATGATGAAGGGCAGGCAGTGGCTGAATTTACAAGCCACATGGTTAAATTTGTGCATGTACCTACTCAGGTCTGGAATGGGTATAACCTAAGTAGTTGGTTTGGAAGTTGGTATGAGCAGCTTGGAGGAATTAAGACATTAGTAGGAGGAGTAGTGTTTATCATATTCTTATGTCTTTTCCTGCCCTGTCTAATTCCACTAGTGGTAAGGTCCCTACGTAGTATTATAGAGAGTACTATAGAGAGAAAGACAGCGGCTCATGTAATGGCTGTCTGGAAGATATGATCCCCTAGCCCGAAGAGAATATATTCAGGATGAAGAATGTTGAAGGAGTTTTTAAGATGCTTACAAGGTCTACTCTGGTTCAATGGCTACTTGAGAGATGTAGGTAAAACTGTGATTGGTGATGCATCTGGAATAATGTTATATCAGAGGCATCAAAGGGGGGAATGTGATGGGATTCCAGCATGGTCAAAATTTAGTAGGCCAAAATCTCCATGTGGCATATGTGTATGTCGTGTCAGTTGGTTAGCTACATGTAGCTAGGATACTGTCATCAGTGTACTGAGCATGTGCAGGAATGCAGGAACTGGAATTGCACTTATTTCCTTTTGTCTTGGATGAGCCATGTGGTTTGACTAGATGTACAAGTCTATATTCTGCTCATTGATTGGTTAAAGGTGTATGTGGGTGTAGCTATTAATGGGAGGAGTTATAGTGCTATATAAGGAATGTACACTATGTGTTGGTCTCTCAGATCTTTTGGAACAGGAGTTCATCTGAGACCCGATCGGTAATGTGAATAAAGGCCTGTTACTTCCTGAAGACCTGTGTCCAATATTTCTGTGTTTGGCTTCTGCATGCTTACACTGCAACACCAATATTTTGGGGATGTGACGTTAGTCACCATCACTGGGGATGGAATACAGACACTATGGGTGGACTCCCAAATTCGTTTTGTCACATTGTGCCTATTATTTGTACAGGGTATTGTGACAGATTCATCTGTATTGCTGGTTCATCTGTTTCCCTTTGTTCGCTGAATTGCCTGTTCATATAACCCCGTTCGTGTAATTTGCAAACTACCGATTGAAACTACCGAACGAACGACCACCCAGGAGACGAGTGTGCTGCTGGTTAACCTCTTGGCCCCAATTAGAACGTTGTGGTTAACCGCAGACACCTCTCCATTCCATTCGTGCGAGTGGTCGTCGTTCGCATGTCGACAACGAGGCAGCGGCCATTTTGGGACATACGAACACACAGCGGTGTTCGGTACAAACTGTATGGAACTAAAAATGGACACTTAAACTAACGAACACCGCTGGAAGCTGCTGCCTACCTTCCATTTCGACAAGGCATGCGAACGTCGGTCATTCGGGAGTTTTTGTTCATTCGTATGGACTTTCACCCAGACAGCCATCCCATGGAGTCATTCGTATACCGAAGGACTGGTGAAAGACTTTGACTCCATGGCGATTCGACTAGATACAACAGATCTGAGCGCTATTCGGTGAAAACATGCACTCAGATCCAGGCTGTCTGGGGATACGTTACACGAACTATATGTATTTGGTATTTCTGCAATTATGTATTTTAATGTATTTTTATTACTGTATTCCAAAATGGCGATTGTCTCTACCTTGGGAGATAATTAGGTTTCTTCCTAATTATCTCCGAGGTAGAGAAGACGGAATTATGGGCAAGATGGGAAGGGCTATTATTGAAGCTACTGCGATTGGCTACTGTCCAATATGTCTTACAGTCTTCCACAAGGTCCCCTCGGGGAGTGTCCACCTTGTGGAGACCTGCATAAATACCGGGCAGGTAGCCCCCATTAAACAGATCTTCATTTGACCCTCAACACGGAGCTTGGTCTCGTTTGTGGGGGAATTATTACTGGGACAGTGCTTTCGTTATTTTTAGCTGTGGAAGGCGTTCGACTGTTTTGCTGATCGGGAGTTGCCGTGTTCGTGGACTTCGTTCGGGAGTTTGGCGGTCGGCTGGATTTAAACTGCATTTCTGGAGAAGGGGATTATTGACTAAACGGCGGCTTCATTTACCCGACGGTACGTGTCGTAACAATTGGTGGCAAGCGACGGGATGAATCCTACAGCCCAGAAGGCCAGCTACACATCCCAGGTTGGAAATGCAGTATGAAGAGTTAAGGCGTGCTACCCTTAAAGATATATTAGAACGCAGAGGACGATCAGCGAGTAATCTCAAGAAAAGAGAGATTATTTCTATACTATTGGAAATGGATGCAGCACAGGGAACGGGAAGAGCTGATGTGCCTGGCATACTGGAGTTAACACCCGAGGAGATACAGTTTAACCGGGCAGTTCAGATCAGGCTGGCACATTTTGGCCCCAACCCCGCAGCAGATATTGTGGTGCAAGTGCAAGCAGCAGTAGCAGCACAACAGGCGCTTCAAGGAAGAGGCGCTGCAGCAGCTGAGGTACCGTACAATAATAATAATGGAAGGAGAAAAGTACCTTTTGCTGCATTTCGGAACTTTGTAGAAGCCGAAGGAGAAATTGATGGGTTCCTGGCTGATTTTGAAAGGCAATGTGCCTTACACCAGGTACCCGCAGGAGAATGGGTCCCCATCCTCTCTGGGAAGTTATCCGGCCGGGCCAGTGAGGCGTTTCGGGCCATCCCAGAGGAGGAACTTACCAGCTACAGGGCAGTGAAAGATGCCCTTTTGGCCAGATACGCTGTGACCCCTGAGGCATACCGGCGGCGATTCCGGGACACTAACAAGCAGGCTGGTGATTCTTATGTTGAGTGGGCATGCCGAGTACACCGCACCGCAGCCCACTGGATGGCAGGGTGCCAAGCGGTAACTGGGGAAGAAGTGCTGCAGGTATTTTTGTTGGAGCACTGTTTTGACCGCTTACCTGCAGGAGTCAGAGAGTGGGTTAGGGACAGCAAACCCGCTACCTTACCCAAAGCTGCTCGCCTGGCTGATGAGTACACTGACGCCAGGAAACTGGACCAGACAGCAGCCAAGGTCCCTACCCGAGTGGAGTACAAACCAGCAGCCCCTCCAACCTCTGCAGTGTATCAACCCCCAGCACAACGCACCCCCACCATGCCAACAGCAAACAATTATGCTCAGCCAGCCCGGTTCAACGCCCGGGATTACTCACAGCCTATCCGTTGCTATGGGTGTAAGCAGTTGGGGCACAAGCGACCCGAGTGCCCATTGAACAATTCCAGCCAAGCCCAGTCGTGGAGAAGACCAGCCGGCGGGAATCAGCAGCCACCCCAACCTTCCGCTCACTGTCTGGAGCAGGAGGAATTTTGGGGTATACTACATGAGGCGGATCCAGTACAAGCAGCGCAGCAGGATAACCGTCAACAGCACAGGCAGACCGTTAAACTAAATGGCAAAGCAGTAACTGGTCTGAGAGACACCGGAGCCACTATGACTTTGCTCCAAAAGAACCTTGTTTCCGAACATCAGCACACTGGAGATACTGTGGCAGTGAGGGTGGCGGGAGGTGCAGTGTTCCGTTTACCGGTTGCCCGGGTTCACTTGGATTGGGGGGTGGGCTCTGGACACGTGAATGTGGGGGTCATGAAAGACTTACCGGCCGATGTTTTGCTTGGGAATTACTTGGCCCCTTTGGTGTCCGCTTATGCTCCAATGGGACCTGCCGATATCAACCCAGTGACTACCCGTGCCCAGACTCGTGCTGCTGGAACCAGCCCACCTGCTGCTGAGACCCAGGTAAGAACCGAGTCCCCGACTGGTACCCTAGAACAGACTTTTATTAACTGGGATTCCCCAGAGGAGTTTGGGAGGGAAACTCAGACAGATTCGACCCTCCAGAAGTATAGGGACAGAGCAGATACTGGAGAGGAAGGATTAGATGGGGAACGGTATGAGTGGGTGGGGGACAGGTTGTATAGGATCCCCAAGCTTTCCCCGAAGAGTGTTGCCCCTCCGCCGAATCGACAGCTGGTGGTGCCCGCAAAATACCGGCAGGAGATTCTGCGGATAGGGCATGATGTTCCCCTAGCTGGACATCTAGGTTCCCGCCGCACAGCCTATAGGATCATGCAGAACTTTTTTTGGCCAAACTTTAATCAGGCTGTTCGGACATACTGCAGTACGTGTGACACATGTCAACGGATAGGAAAGCGGGGGGAACCACCCAAGAGCTAGACTTATGTCTATGCCTATCATTGGGGAGCCCTTTGCCCGCATAGCCGTTGACATTGTGGGTCCACTGGCCAGGGCTAGTCCATCCGGTAAGAAATATATTCTCACCGTGGTGGATTATGCCACTCGCTATCCAGAGGCAGTAGCGCTGTCTAATATAGAGGCAGAGACAGTTGCTGATGCCCTGGTTAGGATTTTTACCAGAGTCGGGTTCCCTCAAGAGATTCTCTCTGACCAGGGAACCCAATTCACCGCTGTGCTCACCCAGCAACTGTGGAAGGTGTGCGGTATTAAACCGCTGCTTAGCTCACCTTACCATCCACATACTAACGGTCTCTGCGAGCGATTTAATGGCACCCTCAAACAGATGCTGAGGACCTTTTCTGACACTTGCAGAGACTGGGAGCGATTCCTGCCTCATCTGTTGTTTGCCTACAGAGAGGTGCCTCAGGAATCTACTGGGTTCTCCCCCTTTGAGTTGCTATATGGGAGAAGGGTCCGCGGACCCCTAGATCTCATTAGAGGCCACTGGGAGGGGGAGACAGAGCAGGAAGGGACCCCCATAGTACCGTATGTTCTGGAACTCCGGGACCGCATGGAGAAACTGTCCCTAATGGTAAGGGAGAATCTCCAGGTGGCTCAGGGGAGACAGAAGAGGTGGTACGATCGGGGTGCCCGACAGCGAGTCTTCCAGGTTGGGCAGAAAGTGTTAGTACTCAAACCTGTGAAGGCGAACAAGATGCAGGCATCTTCTCAGGGCCCGTATAAGGTGTTAGCACAGATATGCAATACTACCTACCTTATAGCCAGCTGTTCAGATGAAAGGATCCAGCGATCCTTCCATGTGAACATGCTAAAGGAGTATCAAGAGAGACCAGAGAATGTCGCTGCAGTATGTGCCCCTGCTGCAGATGATACAGAAAGTTTACCCTTGCCAGACCTGTTAGAGAGGGACCCCCAGACGGATCTTACTAGCCTAGTACAGCTAGGGGACAGATTGAGCTCTACCGAGAAGGGCCAGGCAAGACAGCTTCTGTGGGAAAAGCAGGCGACCTTCTCCCAAGAACCTGGTTACACTACCCTAGCTGTACACAAGGTAGAAACCCCTGGACAGAACCCCCTGCGACAA